TGGAACCGGGCTCTAGCTGAGCAAGAGAAGTGACATCGTCCTGAGCCCCACTACGTGCCCCGCCGCACGCAGAGCGCACTTCCTGTGTCACTGCCGGTTCACCCGCAGCGGACCCTGTGAGCTGGGCGCGTCCCCCCTGCACATCTCAGGTGCAGAAACCGAGTCACGGAGGATTCAGGAAACAGGTGCAGTGCGGGGACCACAGTCAGTGCTAACAACCAGGATTCCCCTGCTTGGTAACCCAGAACGCTTCCGCACCATCAGGACTGTTAAGAAACAGACCACACGCGTAGTGGGAGATGAGCGGCTCCCCGTGCAGGGGCTCCTCCAGCACAGCCACTAGGAACTTCTCCTGGGGCCTGAGCAGAGACAGTCACCCGCTGAGGACGGGGTGGGTGAGGGAGCTGGCTAGCGCCTGCGGAGGGCAGTTTCCACAACCATACGTGGCCCTGGGGGGGTCAGAGGAGGTCTACCGAGGGGGCAGAGGGGATGGCGTCGTGAACCACTGACAGAGACCCAGGGGTGGCCGGGGAGGCAGATCCAAGGCCGCCGCGTTGTCATGTCGGGCCTCCCTCTGTCCCCTGGGTTTTCAGGGGCAGCAGTTCGTGTAGCGAGGGTCCCCATCCCTGTCGGCTCAGCAGGAAATCTGCACGCACGTCTTGGACCAATTTGACTACTGCTCGTGAGCGGCACCTTCCTTGAGGGGGGGGCCCTCGTTCTCGGCCTTCTGCCTGCGTTGCCTCAGAAACACCCTCCCAGCCACCCCCTTGGGAGAAGCTCTCAGGACCCCGGCTACAGATAGAGAAACTGAGGCAGGGCCACTCAGCCAGGGTCCGGTGGTCAGCTTGGCAGAGTCAGTGACAGTTGCGTTGGCCAATTCCATCGTGGGAGCCGTCAGCCTCTGGGTTCCTTGGGGTGGGAGTCCCTGGGTCCCACCCAGTCTGGCCCTTTGTACCTGGGAGGCTGTGGGGGAGCCGGCTCCCTGCTCCTTGAACAGGAGAGACTGGTGGGCCAGGAGATGGGCAGCTGGTGAGTAGATGCCAGATGTGGGATTCACGACCAGTCACCCCCACTCGTCTAGCCCTGCTCTGTGTCAGTGCTGGTTTCCAGTGATGTCGTTCATCTATCTTATCAACCAACCCCGGTCAGGATGTTTTACGGATGAAGAGACTGAGGTCCAGAGAGGATCCAAGCGGCCACTCCTGGAGGCTGGCCCGCGATCTCCCCATGGCACCCCCTGCTGCCCAGAGTGAGGCAGGGAGGACCCTAACTAGGGGCATCCAGTCCCCGAGTGTCTAGTTGGGGGCTATGCCACGCACAGGGTGTGGGCTCCACGAGACGGCTGAGGCAGTGTGGGCCCAGGGAACATGATGTGTTCAGGTGCCACAGCTGGCGAACCGTAACCCGGGGATTTGAGCCCCGTCTTGTCTGCCACCACTGACCTGCCCATCACACAGGCGGGGGAGGAGGCCCGAGTGACAGTCCGAAGTCCCTGAGCTGCACCTGCAGCCTGCCTGTGCAGGATGCTGGACGCCAAGCTGCCTTGCCTTCTTGGGGCGGGGCTCCCCTAACCCTTCCCTCTCCTGCAGGGAGGGCTTTTCCTGGGATGGCTCAGCCGTCTTCCCAGAACCACCCGTCATTAGGATATATCCCGGCACGATTCGTCCCATCTCTCGGCACATCAGATACTACGCCATGGCCCTACTGAAGAACGTGAAGGAGAGGGCCGCCTGGTTCCGAACACCACACGTCCTCTGGCCCTGGGTACTGCGGGGTCCCGGCCCCGGGGTCCACAGCACAGCCCTGGACACCTGTCAGGAGTCAAAATGTCATAGGCATTTCAATCAAAATACTGTAACTACACTTGGGTCTTGAAGCAGAGCGGAAGTCGTAACTAGACGATAAAGAAACAAGAACTTGAAATATTTACTTTCCCAACAGTTCAAATGCAGAATGTGCTGTTGGCAAGGAGAACAGAAAGGCCCACCTAACATGACTTGTGTCCGGATCACACAACCCTGTCAGGATTGCTCTGTGACCTCCCTCTTCAGAGGCACCATGAGGCCTTTCAGAGAGGCGTCCTGCGGCTGCGTGAGTTTAGGCCATCCTGACACATGTCACATTCCCATGCTCCTTCCGTGGAGGTTGCTGTCAGCACACGGGGAGGCCTGTCATGACCTTGCCCCCACTCTGCCTCAGGACCCTAGACCCAGCAGCAGGCGTTTGTGGGGCCGCTGCAGCCCTGTGCCCAGGGGTCTGTGCAAGTCCGACCGCGAAGGGAAGTTGCCCATCAGGCTGTCTATCCCCATCACTTTGTGTCACGAGCTCACACCAAAATCCCCGGGCGGGATGATGAGGAATCCTTGTCCTTGGGCAGCGCGAGAGCTAACGCATCCGCGGCCTCATCGCACGGGCAGCCTGTGGGGCTGATTCAGCCTGGGCTCCCCCGTCAGACCTCGTGAGAACTTTCCTCGTTCCCCTCTTGTCTCGTCGGTGCTCGGCGGGCCCCTCCTCGGTGACCCAGGAACCGCAGGTGTTCAGATGTTCCGGCAGAATCTGCAGAGCGCTGCTGGGGTGAGGCCATCACACGGGCCGCACGTCCGAAGCAACTGAACAACTTCATCCAGGCTTATGCTTCTCCTTCTGTCCCAACTACAGGCTTCGCCTCCCCTGGGCCGCACTCCGTCTCTCACGTGCAGTCTCAGAAGACGTCATTTCATGTCTTCCGCCCCATGGCAAAATCTCAACAAGGCTCATTTAGGATTACCGCGACTATTTCTGGGGGGACCTTCTTTTTAATGACACAGGTCTCTCCTTTGGCTGAGATGTAATTGGCAGATCACGTTATGCTAATTTCAGCCTGCAACACACCATTCCATATTTGTCTGTATTGCAAAATGACAGGCCCAATAAGTCTATTTGCCGTCCATCACTGATGGATGCTTGGGTTCTCTCCACATCTTGGCTATTGTAAATAATGAGCGTAAATGAACGTTGAGTTGCCTGGATGTGAACGTGGGGGTGCATATCCCCCGTTTTCAAATTAGCGTTTACGTTTTCTTTGGGTAAATACTCAGCGTGGCGTTGCTATGTCATATGGTGGTTCTATTTTTCATTTTTTGAGGGTCTGCCATACTGTTTTCCATCATGGTTCCAACAATGCACAGTCCCACCCACCGTGCACAGCATCCTCTTTTCTCCACGTCCTCGCCAACACTTGTTATTTCTAGTGGTTTTCACAATAGCCATTCTGACGAGTGTGCGGTGAAATCCCATTGTGGTTTTGAAGCGTATTTCCCTGATGAGGAGTGATGTGGAGCACCTTTTCACGTATGTACCTGTTGCCCATGTGTATGTCTTCTTTGGAACAATGTCTATTCAGATGTCCTGACATATTTTTTAAATGGATTTTTTGCTTTGGGGTATTGAGTTCTATGAGTACTTATGTTACGGATATTCACTCCTTATCACATGTTTGATTTTCAGACATTTTCTCCCATTCAGTAGGTCGCCTCTTCATTTTATTGATGGTGTCCATTGTTGCACAGAAAGCTTTTTTTTTTTTTTAATATAGTCTTACTTGTTTACTTTTACTTTTGTTGTTTTTGCTTTGGGTGTAAAATCCAAAACATCATCACCATGAATGAAGTCAAGGACTTTATCCCCTCTGTTTCATTCTAACAGTTTTATGGTTCCAGGTTTTATATTCAGATGTCTAATCCATTTGGAGTTAGTTTTTGTACATGATGTAAGATACTGGTCCAGTCTCATAATTTTGCGTGAGGATGTCCAGTTTTCCCAACACCACTTACTGAAGAGACTGTGCTTGCCCCAGTGTATATTTTTGCCTCCTTTGTCACAAATTAACTGACCACATATGTGTGGGTTTATTTCTGGGCTCTCTATTCTGTTTTGTTGATCTATATGTCTGGTGTCATGCCAATACCATACCATTCAGACTACCATAGCTTTACAATGTAGTTTGAAATCAGGGGGTGTGAGGCCTCCAGCTTCGTTCTTCTTTCTCAAGATTTGTCTGACCATTCAGGGTCTTTTGTGTTTCCATACCAATCTGAAGATTGTTTGTTCTATTTCTGCAAATACACCGTTTGAATTTTAACAGGGGTTGCATTGAAATCATAGTTTACTTGGGGTGATGTGGACATTTTAACAATATTAATTCTTCCCATCCATGAGCACAAGAGCACATGAGACATTATTTGTGTCGTCTTCAAGTACTTTCATCAATGTCTTAGAATTTTCAGTGTATAGGTCTTTCACCTCCTTGCTTAAATCTATTCCTAGATATTTTATTCTTTTTGATGCATTTATACATGGGATTGTTTATTAATTTCTCCTTCTGATGGTTCAGTATTAGTGTGCAGAAATGCAACTGATTTTCATATATTGATTCTGTACACAGACACTTGATTGAATTTGTTAGTTCTAACTGTGTCTAGGAGGAGTGTGTGCAAGTTTTTATATGTAACAATGCTATGCCTTCTTCATATAGTGACAGATTAACTTCTTCCTTTCCAATTTGGGTGCCCTTAGTTTCTTTTTGTTGCCTACTTGCTCTGGCTAGGCCTTCCAATGCAACGGTGAATGAATATGTACAAGGTGGGCATCCTTGTCTTCTTCCTCATACAGCTTCCCACCATGGAGTATGATGCTACATTTGGGCTTGTCATAAACGGCCTTTATTATGTTGAGGCACATTCCCTCTATACTCACTATTTGAGAGGTGTTACATCGATGGATGTTGTATGTTGTCAATGGCTTCTTCTACAGCTATAGAGATGATCACGTGCTGTTCTATCCTTTTATTGTTAACATTACGCATCGTGTTGATCAATTGGTGGATTCTGAACCATCCTTGAATTCTTGCAATAAATCCCACTTGATCATGGTGGATGATCCTTCTCATAGATGGTTGACTTTGGTTTGCTAATTTTTGTTGAGTATCGTTGTATGTGTGTGCATCAGAAACATTGGCCTGTAATTTTCTTTTCTGTGACACCTTTATGTGGTTTGGTATCGGGGTAATGATTTTAGGATATGAGTTTGGATGTATTCCCTCTGTTTCAGTTTTTTCAGAAGAGTGGGAGAATGATAGGTATTAATTCTTCTATAAAGGTTTTGTAGAATTCACCAGTGAAGCTGTCGGGTCCTGAACACGTGTGGCTTGGGAGGTTTTTGACTGAATCTGATTGAATCTCCTTAGTAGTCGTTGGTCTGCTCAGATTTCCTATTTCTTACTGATTCGGTGCTTATGGGTAGTATATTTCTAGGAATTTATCAATGTTTTGACTTTGTCTTTTTGAAAGCAACTTCCAAATCAGTAAACGTGAGTCGTGGCTGTGATCACTGTGATTTGTAATTACTATATTATCAAAAATAATTATTATGCTTGTATCAATAATACTGATAGGCTTTAAGAAAATCCCAGAAAGAGAAATAATTTAGACAAATGCCAACACTATATAATCTCAATTATATGTGGAGTTGAGGAAAACTATACTTATGGAAATAGAGATTAGATCTATGGATGCCAGAGGTGTGGGGGTGGGGAAGTGGGGGAACTGGATGATGGTGTTCAAAAGGTCCAAAGTCCAGTTATAAGATTAACAAATACTTGAGATGTAAAACATAATATAAGAAAGAAAAAAGGAAGGAGAAGAGAAAGAAAAGGATAAGAAAGAGAAAAAACAAGACAAAATAAAAGAAAAAAGAAGAGAAGAAAAAAAGACAAGACAAAAAGAAAGGGTCAACGGTCGCAGTCAGGGAGCTGGTTGGGGTTCTGAGGCTTCCAGGAAGAGTGTGAGGGCCCTTCATGGCGGTTGATGAGGGGCGGGCTCTGCCTGGGCCGGGCTCTCCCCGGAATTACAAGGCTTTGTGCCATGCCCCCTCCCGCAGGGCTGTGACAAGCAGTTCTTCAATGCCTCGCTCCAGTTCACCAACATGGACCTCTGATGGAATTCATCAACTCTAACTCTCCGCCTCCAAGCTTGGCATCTCTGTGGAGCACGCCACACTGGCTGACTACTTCCGTGCCATGCACACTCACAGTGTCACCTGGAACATCCACGACCACGGGACTTCCTGCCCTATTCCTCAGGTATGAGCATCTGCAGGTTGGGGTGGAGATCTGGTGCCAGGGAGGGCAGCTCTGCCCTGCTGATGGAGCTTGTGAGGGTCACTGGGGCCGAGACGGGCCCTGTCCCGCCTAGCTGTCCCACCGACACATCTTAGTATAGACAAGATACTCACATAATGGCTCCATAGCACCCATTTTCTCATCTCTCCATTTCCTTCCCTTCCAGAGAGATGTCAGGTTCCAGGCCTATGCGGGGCTGGAACTGGGCTGAGCCCTGCGCTGACACGGCCATGAGACGGGTTGGTCTAGTCTCTTGTCGCCTTGGGCTCTTGTCTGGGTGGTGAGAATGTGGGCAAATTGTGCTGAGGACGCTACCATTCAGAGCGTGTGGTTGGAGAGCTGGCTGGATGTAGAGATGAGAGGAGATTCATGGCTGTGGGCGTGGTCACAGTTTAGGTGGGAGGGGCTACTGCATTGTGGGAGGGCTTACGGCCCAGAAGAAAGAGGACATATTGAAGTACGCGGGGTTACAGTTGAGTGGAAAGGGATACATTGACCTGGGAGGTTAATTCACTGTGGGAGGGGATACATTCAAGTGGGCGTGGTTACTGTAACGGTGGGTGTGGCAGCACGGAAGTGGGCAGGGAGATAGTGAGATGGAAGGGTCACATCCGTGAGGCCTTGGCTCCATTCAGGTGGGAGGGCTTCCTGGGTGTGTGCTTGGTTACAGTAGAGGTGGGAGGGGTTAAATTTGATATGGGCGTGGTCATAGTTGAAGTTCAGGACTACATCCCTGTGGGCGGGGTTACAATCCAGGTAGGAGTGGCTGCAGTGGGCGGGGCTGCATCTAGGAGGCGGAGATATGGCACAGTCCTGCAGGTGTATTCAATGGGCTTGGCTCCCTCCCTGAAGGCCCCCCGGGCAGAGACAATTTTATGTGGACACTGGACAGGTGAGGTGAGCCCTGGGCCCTGCTCTGAGTCACTGGGGCCTTGGGAAGGCAATAGGCCTGCCTGGTGCCTAAAGTAGAGCTCAGGCTGTGGGGTGCCTCTGCCCGACCAGGACCCTCAGCCTGCCGGAGGAGCTGTGGGCAACATGGTCTAGCGGTCCCCACAGCCTGCGGCCTTTCCCCGGAGAGCATGGCTACCCTTCCCGGTGTGGCTCAGGTCCCGTGGGGCAAGGTCAGGGAAGGCAGGCACAGCCCAGCCAGGGAGGAGGCGGGAGGCAAGAACAGTAGGAACTGTCACCCACCCTGTGAGACCCAGCCGCCCCCGGAGGCACCCAGCCCCAGCCTGCTCCCACCCAAGCCTTGGTCAGGCCTCATCCTCTGTGCCGGTCAGGACGGCAGCTACCGGATCCCTCAGGTCCCCACGCCATCCCACCTCCCTGGTCTGGCCAGAGGGACCCGCTGATGGCAGGCTTGTCCCGGGACCCCCCATTGCCCTCGAGTCCCATGCGAACGCCTCTGCCTGCACTCGGAGTGCATCCCAGGCGGGGGCAGCCCACTTGGCCCCCATCGCACTCTCCTCTCCCCCCAAGTCTCCCAGACCCTTTGCTCACATGCTGTTCCAGGCTTCCGAGGTCTACCGTCGGCTCTCAGGTCCCCCACCCAGTCTCTCAGCACCCAGGCCTGGCCCAGCCCAGCCTGATGCTCCCGCTTTCCCCAGCCCCTCCCAGGGATCCTGGGCCACTCCCGGCCTGGCCAGAGCAGGGGTCTGTGGCTGCCTCCGTAGGTGACCCAGGCAGACCGGCCTCCCAGCCCCAAGCTTCCCCAGCTTTTCTGGGGCTTTGGTTCAGCAAGACCCCAGGGCAGAGAGACTCTTGCCAACCGCCAGCCCTTCTATCCAGATCCATTTCAGGCCTGGACCGGCTTCTACGCATCCCACAGCGGGCTCAAGGGGCTGGCGAGGCGAGTCAGCACACTGCTGTATGCCGGGCAGTCCGTGTCCACTTACTACGTGTGGCCGGCCCCCCAGCAGCACCTGGGCCTGGACCGGGCCCTGAAGCAGCTGCAGTGGCCCCCTGGGCGGTCTCCGAGGTGACGTCACACGTCTCAGTGACGGTACCAGGTTGCAAACCCCCTGTGCGGTGTGCTGTCCCCACCCCTGGTCACTAGACGTCCACTTTCCAGATGAGAACACTGAGGAGGCCTGTGGTCACAGGCAAGTGCATGTGGACGTGGGCCAAGGCAAGGACAGTGACAGTGTTCAGCTGGGGGCTTCAGGAAGCTTTCGGGCCAAATTTATGCAGAGGGTAAAGGGCAAGATGGGGCTCAATCCCAGCTCAGCCGTGTGGCCTCAGGCACCTTTGCCCTCGCTGAGCTCAAATTCGTCCCAGTGCAGCGAGAGCACGTGGCCACCCCAGGGTGGGGGCAGTAGAATACGATGGCAGAATACGATCTGCCCGGTACGGCGGCTGCCCCGAGGAAGTTGTCCCATCTTTCTATCTCCACCTGTCCCCCGTGTTCAGATGGGAAACCTGAGGCCCAAGAAATCCTATAACTTGTCCTCACCCGCCAGAAAAGAGCCACGCTGGCCATGACATCTGCACACTCACCTAAAGGGAGTTGCTGGCAGAATGTGTGCTGGGGGTGAAGTGGATAGAATTTAGAGTCTATCAGAGCAGGCAGGACAAGTGGCTTCACCAGGTGGAGACTCCGTTTCCCCTCAGGGAAGGTGAGCTGCTCCCGTTCCCACCTTGGTACAGAGACGGGAGGGTGCCTGGAGCATTCCAGCAGCTTTTATAGGAAGACTGGGCGGCAGAGACGAACCTGGGACGGGACCCATCCAGATGTCTGTTTCTTGCCCAAGCCAGGGGACTCAGGCAGTGGGTGTCCACAAGGTCACCAGCCCCTCTGAGACTCAGTTTCCTCTTGTGAGAAGTGGGAGGGACCCTCACCTTCTCCACAGGCACCTGGCGAGAGGGAAGGAGAGCCAGCACCTGGGAGGTGAGTGGGTGCTCTGGAGAGGCGGGTCCCGATCCCATGCTTCCCCTACTCTGGTCGGGCTACGGGTGCAGCACCACGACGCCATCCCTGGGACTGAGACGCCCAAGGTGAGGGACATGTACGTGGAGAATCTGAGCGCGGGGCTGAACGGCGTGCACAAGCTGATGGCCTCCATCGTCCAGGACAGGACCCCAGCCCACTCAGGTAAACGAGGCCCCCGCAGGATGCTTCTGCAGACCTGGGAGGAGGCTGTGACCGTCCTGACCAGAGAGCCCGCGGGGTCACAGAGCGGCACTGGAACACCTGAGTCTCAGTCTTGAACCACCTCCCTTGTGTGCCCCTGAACTTGGCACGTGCCTTGACTGCTCGGAGGCTCCTGTCCTGTCTGTGATGTGTGACCCTTAGACTGATAAGCGGCAACTTGCTTTGGCATCTGCTAAGCACGCATCACGCAGGGTTTAACGTAATGCCTGGAAAGTCCAGAAGCTGGGAACTTCCACTATCCTCACCGTGTAGGGGCACACATAGCAGAAGCAGAGAGGTTGTGGACGGGCTCAGGGTCGCTCAGCCAGGAAGTGCGGAGCAGGGATTGAACCCGTGGCCCCGCACTGCCCTGATTGCAGAGGATGCAGGGATCCTCAGGGGCCTGAGCCCAGCCTGGATCCCCAGCGCCCTCTGAAGTTCAGTTTGGGCGCGGATCTCCAGCCTGTTTGAAGGGAGGCTTCTGTGGGTGTAGAGTAACTGGTGATGCCAGTTTGGGACTGAGGAGCTTTCTTGAACCAGGAAGTCCTGGGGGCACCGGCACACGTTGGTCTCCCTTCACGTGCCCGACACGTCCCGTGCACAAGGCCTGCTGCCCCTCCCCCAGCTCCACACATCAGCCAGACCGGGTCACGGTGCGTCCTCACAACTGACCTCACCGCACACCTGGCCGCCCCCTCCCCCCGTGTCTGTGTGTAGTCCCATCTGACCGTCAGACCGGGGAAGGGCTCCAGGGACCAGACCTGCGGCACACAGGGTCACAGCCCACAGATCACGGGGTTGGTGGGGGAGGCAGTGGCAGCCGAGCTGGAGTCTGGGGTCTGAGTTCCCTGCCAGGTGGGGCCATCCATTCCCGTGTCCTCACCAGGGTGGCCTCCCCGAGGAGTGAACTGGCAGAGGAGGTCAGGAAAGGTGTCCCAGTCATAGGGAAGAGCCTGAGCAGAGGCGGGGGCCGGGAGGTGTGTGATGTGTTCAGGGATCCAGGAATCATCAGACATGGCCAGAACTGCCCTCGCTGGGAGTAAGGATAGAACAGACATGGAAGCCAGGCCGCATCACTGGGGCTCAAATGCTGGGCTAGGTGATTAGACTGGCCCCGCCAGCCTCCCGAGACTTCTCCAGTCCTTCCCGATACAAGCACTCAAATTGGCAGCCAGACCTTAGTAGCGGGTCACGTTGGGCAGGTGACTGTATTTATCTGGGCCTCAGTTTCCTCATCAGTCAAGTGGGGCTGTCAGGGAGTGATGTGAGAGGAGCACGGGGAACCTCAGCTCTCCGGAGGGACCCTGTGTGTTCCCTTCCAGCCTTCCCTGCCCAGGGACCGGGAACAGAGCCCTGAGCAGAGGATGGGGTGCCGAGTGTAGGAGCCGACTAGCCCACCGGTCCCGATACACAGGTCCCCTGGGAGCTCTCAGGGCTGTGTCTCACCTGCCTCCATTTCCACGTGACAAGGGCACCCAGGTGTGTAGGGTGAGTCAAAGGGCAGCAGGTAAAGCCAGGTCTCTGCGTTTAGACCCAGAACGTGGGGGACACGTTGTCGTGGTCTTCAACCCCTTGGCCTGGACGGTCACCACCATCATTACCCTGACTGTGGACTCTTCCTGGGTCAGCATCACCGATGCGTCAGGCCACCCGGTGCCTGCACAGGTATGGGAGTGACACCAGCTCATGGCGGGCACGTCCAGAAGTGGGAGCAGTTAAAGGAAACGTGTACCGACAGGGTCCTCGCTTCGAGGACATCCCCATGGGAACCCATATCCAGTGAGGGTCCTGGGATCCACCATGGGACAGACACTGGGCCTTGGGCATCTGAAGTGGCCCGAAGTGGCCCCCACTGTCCCCTCCTTGTAGGACTTCCTGGGTGGTCTGACCTGGTTGGGCGGCTTCTCCTCAGCCCCCTCCCTCGGGTGTGTTGATATTCTCATGTAAATTTCCACCTTTTCTGGGAAAGGCCCTCAAGAGTCTTGAAAGGGGCGCCTCGAGGAGGTGCTGGTGTTCCAGGCTGGCCCAGCTGCCTGTGCCTGCACACCCAGACACCCGATGCGCGAGGTCTGTTCTCATCCTTTCCACTGCCTAGAGCTGCAGGGGTGTCCCAGGGTACCCTGCCTGTCCCCCGGGGCCACTGTTTTCCTGGGGATGTGCAGGGGGTGCTGACATCATTCAGCAAACCCTCCGAATGCACATTCTGGTCCAGCTGGGCTGAGTGCTGAGCCCCTGGGCACGAATGTCATGCTCAGAGCAGGGAACAGCAGGGGTGCCTGGAAGGAAGGGCAGTTGCTGATGCTGGTGCCCGAGGAGTGAGGGAGGCCAGGCAGGGAGATGAGGCTGGGGCCGGGTCCTGTCGAGCAGGGAGGTGCCTGGAGGGAAGTCAGCTCAGTCCATGACGGAAAGACCCTGCTGCCTCGTGGGTAGTGAGCACCCAGTCCAGGAGGTATGCAAGCCACAGGTTACGGAGGAGACTGAGGGGTTTTCCAGCCCTGAAACCCACATTGTGTCCTGTCCCACTGGCCTTGCAGGTCCAGAAATCAAGGGAGAAACAACCTACATACGACCTGCATGTGCTGACCACCTTCCGGGCCTCAGTTACCGGCACTACGGCATCAGGAGCACCGAGGGGGCCCAGACGGGCATCCACGAACCAGTTGCCACCATAGTTAGTTCCACCCAGTTTGGGCGCAGGCCGTGGACATGCACTGGTCCAGGGATCAGGCACCTGTTGCGGGTGAAGAATGACATTACAACACCGTGTTCCTGGACCATGACACCAACCTGATGCACAGCATGTGGGAGAGGTGAGGTGCAGCCATTGCTGGTTCTGAGGCAGAGGCGTGTCCTGGGACCTGAGCTGTCACTCCCCACCTGTCTCTGTCCTCACCTGCTATGGGAACCACCAGAAGGTGGCGAAGGCCCTTCCTGCATTAGCGTGTTGACTTCTGTATTGTCAGATTAGACCAGTACAAGAAAGCCCTTCTTGAACCTTATCATTCCAGGGCTGTCGGTCCCTAACAAAAGTTGAGGACCCACTCCGGGGAAATATATGCTATTCACGTCGTGCATTTTCTTAAATTTAAAGCAACATAAATCATCCCGTCTGCCCACCAACTGCTAAATCACTCATCCATCCATCTCCTTACCTCCCGTTTACCTATCCATCCATCCATGCATACGACATATCTACATATTGCATACATACCTACGTACTTACCTACATACCTACATACATACACTATCTCTCTTGTTCATGCATCCATCCAACCACCCACCCACCCACGCATCCACTAAGCCCCGATTCTGTCCATGTATCCACACACAAACCACCCCTCCATCCGCCCATCTGCCCCGCCCACCCACTCACCCTCCCACTCATCTATATGTTGACCCAACCACGTGTCCATCCACCCACGCCTCCGCCCACTCACTCACCCAGCCAGCCATCTATTTACGTATCCACTCATTCAGCAACTAATTGTTGGCAGCAGAGAAGGCAGGTGACCTCCAGGAAAAGGGCCTCCCAGACGTTTAGAGCCAGCCCTGTCCATACTCAGGCCACATCCAGGTAGTTTTCATTCCACCCCACCTGCCTCTGCTCGAACAGCCACTTGCTTTTCTTGAAGTGACCTCCCAACAGCACCGGAAGTGCGGGAGAAGCAGGAGGTCTGGGGGGAGTGTCTGGAAGAACGTCAGAGTGAAGGAGCGAGAAGGGAAGGAGAGCACGGCTGTGAGGTGAGTGGTACCTGGGGCTCAGCCCCAAGCCAGCTGTCCACAGCTGTGCACCCACAGAGCAACCAAGCAGCCACCGCATGGCACCCCGTCAGGAGCTCTGCCCTTCGGTCTTTGCACAGACCCTTCTCGAGAGAGCACGGAGCAGGCAGGACGGGCCGAGCGCAGCCAGTGTGGGTGGTCAGTGAAGAGCGGGGACAGCAGTGGAGTTTCTGAAGGGATGTTGGGGGCACGCAGCCAAGGCCAGAAGGGAAAGGCCTTGGGGCCAGACTAATGACAAGGATTCTTTCTCTCCTCTTCAAAGGGCGAATGGGCCCCTTCTTGGATGCCTCCTCTTCCTCCCTGTCCATCCCCACCACAGTGGCACAGAAATTCCCAAAATCGGTCAGAAGTAACCACTTCTTCACGTACTGCCTTGTGGCAGGGCCACCTCCTGGTCCCGGTCGTGGTTGCGCCTTAGCACACACACAGATGTACAATCCATATACCCATCTACACCACATATGCATCTACACAATATACGTGTCTACACCGTATACCCATCTACACCGCATACCTATCTACACTAGATACGCATCTACACCATGTACCCGTCTACACCGTGTATGCACCTACACCATGTACATGTCTACACCATCTATGCATCTACACCATATACGTGTCTACACATATACCCATCTATACCATATATGCATATACACCATATACGCATCTGCACCATATACCTGTCTACACCATATACCTATCTACACCATGCACTCATCTACACCATATACATGTCTTCACCATATATGTGTCTACACCACATACCCATCTACACCATGTACATGCCTACACCCTATACATGTCTGCACCATACACCTGTCTATATCATATACCCGTCTACACCATATATGCATCTACACCACATACTTGTCTACACCACATACCCGTCTACACCATATACCTGTTTACACCACATATGCATCTATACCACATACCCGTCTACACCATATAACTGTCTACACCATATTCCTGCCTATACCATATACTGGTCTATACCATCTATGCATCTACACTACATACCCGTCTACACCACATACCCGTCTACACCATATAACTGTCTAC